AAAATGTCCCAAGTCAACCTATTCGAAATTTAAATTGTTATGTCATCGCAGTATCGCGCTGTCCGTAGAACAAATGAACACTAAAGCGGAGTGTCGCGCTCTGTATACGATTTTAGCGCCTTACAAGTGCGGACACTTTTTAGCGCGGACCCGACGTCCATATAATTGTAAGTCAATGTCTTTTGATAACATTTCTAACCAACGAGGTCATCAATACGTGTATCCACGAGCGTTTTATTAATTACTCTCATTACTCTCATATGTTATCTAACAGCTACGTTGCCCCAATTTTAAATTACCTACTTTGCGGATGTTTTCATTACACCTCGTGTAGTGTTACTCGTTTATTCGAAAAAAAAATTTCAGCGTGCTTTTTACTGATAAATTTATCTATTCAACATGATGACATTGTTTCCAATTCATCTCAACTCGTCCATTTTAAATGTGTACAAAAAACAACCCAAAATTGTATATAAAAAAACAGGACATTGCATATTTTAAACTACTAACGAGGGTATACACGCTTTCGTCCTATCTATCCAAGACGTTACAAAAAAGTGCATCTGCTATTTTAGCTGGAGATCCAATTGATGACGTCAGACGATACGTTCGACTGTCTGAACGGGAAACAAAAATTTTCTTTCGAATTTATTCTTTTTTATTAAAAGTTACTTGTAATCATAACTACTACCAGAAGCTATAACTAAATTGTGAAAATAACAAAAAATGGGTTAAAAGCTAAAAATCATCGTGGACAGGTTTACGTAATTTTTCCATTTACAAACTCATTTTCAATTTCAATTACAACGATCAGAAATCATTGCTAAAAAACATTACATATATGACTAGACGGACGGAAGAGGTGAAGAGGTTAATCCGGAGCGTAACAATTAGAAGTTCATGGTTTCTGTTACCCCAGTGAAATAGTAATAGAAATCTTTGCAAAATCTCCAAAATACAACAGACCCGACAACTTTCCATAACAAACCATAATTGAGCACTAAAAACGAAACCACAACAAACACTTAAATTAAAAAATTCACAACAAACACTTTCCAAACCCACCAGTACGTACACTACGGTACCCTTAACAGTACCTACGACGTACAACGCTATTAGCTATTTATTTAATTAAAGAAATAACTGAAGGAAACGAATATATTGTTTTCAAAGTGTTCGATAAACATCGCGAGTGTAAGGTGTGTTACGAGAGCATAACGGCGCGTGGACGCGACACGACCGGTCGGCTTTCAGGCGGCCGCCACACTTCAGAGCTTACGGTTTCAGTGGAACTTACGCGCACGCCCATTGAGCGTTGTACAACAATTTGTTAACGCGCGGCCACGTAGCTTTGGAACGGTGACAATTACCAATTTATCAGCTTATTCCAATCATGTAAATAGTAAACGCTCTACATATACATTTTGACCTCTAAGAATTTCTACAATCAAACGAAGTAGGTAATTAACATACACAAGAGACAGAGGCACAGATCGAGACTTTGCGCGATCCTCGTAAATGTCTTTTTAACGGACTTAAAAAAAAGGAGCTTCTCAATTCGACTGTATGTTTCTTTTTGTATGTATGTTACGCGATAACTCCGGTATTTGTGAACCGATCTTGATGATTATTTTTTTGTTGGAAAGAGGGTACCTCAGCAGTGGTACCATTTAAATCTGAAGAAAATATTCCACCTCTGAGGGTGGCAAACTCGAGGATGAATCCGGTTTCGCGCACTTTCCAATAACCGATTTCAATCAAACATGGTAAATAGATGTAATTCCACGAAGTTTTGATGTTGGGTTTTTTAGTACCCTGTATTGAGATTATTCATCCACCTTTTCCTAAAAACCCTCCTACTCTGGTCACAGTGCAGTCCAGCCTTTTGAAGACCATTCTCGATTTGAACTTCGAACTTCCTTCGGGGCCGTAACTCTTTCGCAGCTCTACTTTCATTCATTCTATCGCTCCATGTGCCCGAACCACCTCAACATAGCGTTTTCTTTATTTTTGTCACTACGTTCTCTTTCAAATCACAGTATTCCCCATAAATGGCAGCCGTCAAAATTTCCTTAGCACTTGAAGCTACGACCTTGAGATGGTATCGCCCAAGATTCCAATGATTACTAGTCTATTAATACAAGAAAGGTTAAGATACATTTCGAACTCAAGTGACATTTGAGCTATAAACCATTTAATATCAATACCACCTAGAGCAGTTTATTAATACAGACCTAAAATTATTGAAAATTGAAATACCACTTAAGTCATTTTTTAATCTCTTAATGGAAGAATAGAGAGTGGTATATATATGGTATATATATAATGGTATATATATATATATATATATATACACACTCTTTTGCAAAAAAAACGGGCACCTAAGGAAATTTACGTTCTAAAGTCGATTTGAGTTAATTAAATGAAATTTATTTCTTTGACTTAGTCTGTATAATTATAATCGTGTAAATTAATGCGCGTGAAGTGAATTCGGGCAATTAAAAGAAAAAAAAAACGATAGATTCTTTAAAACCGATGTACACGCCCAAACAATAAGAAGTGGTCGAAAATAAAGACAAGATTTTTTTTTACTTTTTTTAATTAAATAAAGTCACAAATGTAAAAACCTAATAACGAGTGTGACCTCCTCTTGCCAAAATCACAGCTTGAATCCTTCTGGGCATGCTTTCCACGATGTTTTTAATAATGTTTTGAGGAATACGTTCCCACTCTTCTGCAATTACTCTTTTTAGCTCCCTGATGTTTTGTGGAGCAGGTTGCACTGATCTTACCCGTCTCTTTAGAACATCCCAGACATGCTCAATTGGATTGAGGTCAGGACTTCGAGCTGGCCAATCTAAGCGACTGATCCCAACTTCTTGTATGTACGCTTCCACGTCGCCAGAACGGTGCGGGCGAGCATTGTCGCCCATAAACATGGAATCTTCCCCAAGTGCAGTCAATGTGGGTTGTGCATATGGAATTAGGACTTCCATTATGTACCGGTGTGCATTTAATGTTCCATTTTCTATGAAAACTAACTCCGTACGCTCCGTCGAACTAATTGCTGCCCAAAACATAACGCAGCCTCCGCCATAAGGAGTGATTTCTTCGAAACACACTTCCGCATAGCGTTCCCGTGGTCTTCGCAGCACTCGCCGGCGTCGGTCCTCTCCACACAAAGAGATTCTAGCTTCATCAGAAAACAATACTTTATTCCAGTCCTCCAGAGTCCATGTAGCACAGTTCCGAGCAAACTGAAGTCGAGCAACACGGTGCTCACGGAGTAATTTAGGGCCCCGAGCTGGGCGGTAACTCCTGATATTGGCAGCCAAAAGCCTCCTCCTGGCCGTCCACAAGCTAACTTCTACTCCTCTTACTTCTTCAAGGCTCTTCTTCAGGTCCACACTTGACGCCTTACGATTCCGCAACGCCTGACTCACCAAAAAGCGGTCATCTCTTGGTTCTGTGCATCGTTTTCTTCCCGAACCGGGTCTTCTTTTGACCGAACCGGTCTCTTGATACCGTTGCCAAGTCCTCTGGACAGTTGAACGACTCACATTTAGCCGCTGAGACACGTAAGTTTGCGAACAACCTTCTTCAAGTAGGGCTATAATTTTACCGGCCCTTATCACTTTATCACTCATATCAAAAAGTGGTATTTAATGTAAAAAGAAAGATTAAATTGTTTAATTTGCAGAAAATATCCAAAAAGTTTTAAAATATCGTAATCAATAAAAATCGTTTCAGCAATTCGCGCCATTATTAAAGCAATTTTAGAATAATCCACAATAATCATTGACTTACAAATAAATGGACGACGGGTCTAATACAAAAACCACG